GCCGAAGGATGAGCCAGGAGTTGCAGCACTCAGGCCCGAAGCAAAAACCAGCGCCTGTGGATCCTGTGGATGCTCGTTTGGGTACTTCTTTAGTCTCACTCAAAAACTCTGGCACAGAGGATGACCTGGGCCTGTTGGATTGCGTTCGGAGGTGACTTTGAAATCACGCAGAAAACTCAGAAAGACGAGGCTCGAAGAGCAGAGAAAACTTTCAAAAATGGCTTCGCGAAATTAAAGAAAATCAATCAAAGGCTTAATCTTGAATTGCTATGTGCACAAAAAGTTGAAGTTTCAAAACTTGAACTAAGACGATGTTAAAGAAAAATCAACGTGAATCAACACGTGGCGTAAAACTTAGAAGACTAAGAAAAAGTTCTAAGAGAAAACAAAGAAACGCACCACAGAAGGGTGTGGACAGAAGAGAAGGGGCATAAGAGCCGGGGACAAGAGAGTCAGCAGAAGAGCAGAAGCATAAGAGAGATAAGAGAGCGAGCAACCCCACTCCACTGGTTTTATCTTCTCACACTGGGAGTGTCTGAGGAGAAAGAGGAGGGGTCATCGGGTCTCTGATTATTTGATCTAACTTATTCTTTTGGCTGGTAAAAGAGTCAGATCTGATACTCACTCACTATGATTAATATCATTGAATGCTTGGTTTCATGATAAATAATTTGATACTAAACACATATGAATGAAGTGTAGGATCACATCAAACATTCTCATTATGTTTTAAGTATCACATTGAACATGCTAAATTACTCTGAAATGAAACAGATAGTAACACATGGAAACTGTGAACAACAAAAGAGTAAACACATGTGAATGAACGTCATCATGATTAATAATGGATTCTAAATACTCACATTCAGATTATTCAGTGACATTATAACCACCTAATGGTTAAGATACTAAATAAATAACTAAAATATAAACCAAACATTTCTAAACTATTTCTGTTACTTAGAGTAAACTTAGGATTCATAGTCAATAAATTTAACTCTTAAAAGTTCATGAAACAGTCTGAAAAGCTGTTGGTCTAAAGAACTAAAGAATAAGGATTTATTCTGTCAGATAAGATAACTTGGCTTCTGAAGCACATAGAAAAACGGGAAACATCTCATTTTAACACAAATTTCATGATTAGACAGATTAGTACATTGCTGAATGCGTAAGATGTCATGATCAGTCATTTGTATTCTTTCACCAAAGGAATGCAGTCTTTATCAGTGTATGGTCGAGCAGGGTTTTACGACCGAGGTCTGGAGGTCAGTGTCCCCCCTTATCCTGGAGTCCGTATGTTCACACACTTTAAGACGCTAAATCTCAAATGGGAGATCTGGGTTGAGACGTTAATGTTTATTTAGATGGTCAGTAATGGAGTCAGTTTGAAAGGTAATAAAAACTCTGTCTCTGTTCGCCGAACTGACCAATCCTGAAGATTCAGAGGTTTAGTCAACCTCCGGTTGGGTCACTTATTTAACCTGAAAGTGCAAACACGTCTGGAAAGATTTATATCCTGTTTCCTGGGACCAGATAAGGAAACTTTCCTGTAAGGAATGTGTGGGTTTCACATCCAGGGTTGTCTTGATTGCTACAGTTGAGCTGTCCACTCCATTGGCCCTCTGAGCTGTGACAAGAAGCTCTGCTGGCTGCTGCTGTAGCTGGGGGTGATGCCAACGATAGGACTAATGCACTAATTACCACAGAGCGAGGGAGAAGAGAGAGAGTAAATAGAAGTGGGGAGGGATACATGAAAATAGAGCGCCATGCAGAGAGTTGAAAAGGGGGGACTGTGAGGTCTGATGAGCTCTGACTGACAGCAGAATGACATGACTGAGAGCAAGCGCCGCCTTCGTCATCATCTTCCTCAACAACATAATACACAGCTGTAGCATTGTTATCACAGAGGAAAAGGAGGTCAAACTTGGCCATCATTTATGAGGATGTGTCCGGGTGATTTGCCTATCTAAGGGCCTCAATACCTACATGTATTAGTATTTGTAGCTGCAAGTATCAATGTTCAAAATGTCAATTCATGGATTATTCTATGCAATTCTATGCAATTTTGCGACTTTCCGGGGGGAAAAAAAGACGTGTCTTGGGTGGAAGCGAAAAGACTGACACAACACCAGACTCACTGTTTTTCAGATACTTGTGTTGAGATGGCTGTCCGTCATGATAGCATGTACTGAGTCGGGGCCAGTACCAGATAAGCACATTAAACTATAATCCATAAACATAAGGTAACAGCCGAGACGTAATGGTGCTTTGACAGCAATGGGGTTGAGTTTGAGACAGTGAAAATACATATGGTATGTTGTATCTGAACAGGCTAGCTTACGAGCTAAAGTTTCTGAGCACAGATGAAAGTTAAAACAAAGACGTTTAGCAAACTGTTAAAGCACACAAACCATCGTCATATGAGAGATCAAACGCTATGACTCTCCACAAGTTGTCCTTCAGGTCGTTATCTTTGTAATATTTGTGTTTTTTATCAAAAGGCACTCTGTTCTCCGACACGTAAACAATCAGCCGGTCGGCCATGTTGGATATACCGGTGAATCAGACATCGCAACAACACACAATCTGATTGGTCAGAAGTGGACACACAGTATTGCAGGCAGCCTTTTTAGTAAAGCTGCTGCCAGACAATATGAACATCCCTCTAAATGATAACATGGTTTCTCCCACCCTTAATGACAGCATAACAAATCAAGTATTTCATATAAATCATATTAAGATATATAGAATAAGGTCCAGTCCACCTCATCAGTGTCCAGGTTGAGTTCTTCCGCAATAAATTACTGTCCATTTTCACTGTAGTCAGTCAAAACTGAACTCTATAAACAGAACTAGTTCTACTTTGCAGCACTTTAACATATCAGTCTAAATACCCCCATTGTGACACATAACTTGCCTTGTGGATTGGCAAAAGCACCCTGAAATAACAGGTCAGACGGGTGTGCATGCCATCACTAGATCTTGCATGATTGGAGGTATTAGAAAGCCTTTTTTGGCACTTCCAAAAGAATCAGAACAACACTACAAATTTTGCACCAGAATTTTTTTTTTATATAACAAATGCGGCATATACAATGAGCAAATCGGATCTGACTTCCTCTGCCCCTTGTCAGCTGCTGGACACCCCATGCACCCACCCACACACTCCCCATACTTATTAATCTCCACTTCCTGAGGCCGTGTTAGTTCATTCCCCTGTCGCTTCTCTCTCCTTCTTCCCTGCCTCCTCTCACTCTTGTTTCACTCCTCGTTTCCGGGCAATTGGGTCTGGGTGGTGGTGGTGGGGGGTAAGAGGTTGGGGTGGAGCTGCTGGGAACTTTGTGTATGTGAGTGTATATGTGTGTGTGAGCCTTTGTGTGAATGTGTGTGTGCTGGGAAGTGAGCTAATAAAGGACGGTGATCCATGAAAGGCCTTGAGCAAAGACACAGTCAATTACCTAATGCCTGGACCAGACCGCAGGGCCCACGCACACACATTCTCTCTCTCTAACCGACTCTCTCTCTCTTACACACACACACACACACACACTTCGATGCATGCACCTCATTTACGTATACATGGAGAGGGGGCAGTGGAGGGCATAACTGGGAATTGTGTGTAAGTGTGTGGGTGGGTGTGCATATGCGTGTGATGGAGAGCGGCGAATTATTAAATTGCTGTCACTTTTGACAAATTTGTGCAACTCAAGTTGAAAGGGTTAGCCTGGGCTGCTTCTCTGTTTTTTTTCTATTTTCTTTTGGAGGAGAGTACCTTTCTGACTCACCAAGACATCCCGGCTATAAACCCAAGTCTGCTGTTAGTACTAGGGTGTACCCGAGCTTAAGACCTGGGTTTACACAGGTCTGACATTGATTGATTTTGATTTGAAAGGATGAAGATGAGTTTTTATGCACTCAACATAAAAATGTATGATCACAATAAAATCACTATAGGATTACAATAAACCCACAGCACCCACTTGGCCTCACTTCCGTTTCAGCTGCACTTTTTTTCTTCATCTCTCAGAGATGTCTGACTATGTACCATCCAGTTAAGATTCTTGCATCAACACTTTTTTTTAAACTTGATTTGATTTTTTTGTGTTTTTTGTTTCAATGTATTTTATTTTGATATGATTCTGAAATACAAGTAAAAAGTCTTTGGGAATCAAAAGTGACAACATTTGTGACACTAACTCATGACTCTTATATTATACATGAATTCTGTGGGTCAGTGTGGGTTTTCTGCCGAAGCTACGCTGGAATCTATAACAGAGTTTTGGCGCATCTTTTGTATGGTTTATAACTCCACTTCTTTCTGCTGACAATCTGGCCAAAATGATACTTTTCCATAGCTAACCCTTGAGAACGTGGAGAAAAATGTTAATATTACTCTTAATTTAATTGGGTGAGCACAAAACTGCAAAATTTGTGTTTGATGGCTGACCTGACTACAGCAAAGGGAAAAAGATGCGGAACAGAAAAGGATGTTTAAAATCAAAAAAAGCAGTATGAAAGAGATGTCAAGAACAAGATATGAACCTTGGCAGTAATAGAGAACTGGTTAAGTTAGAAAAAATTTACAAACAGAAAAGTTACAGGAAAGAAGGTCTGCTGCTGTTATTTTCTGCATCTTTTTAAATTTACAACACTGAACACATATGTTTAGAATTTCAAGCAAATGCAAATGTGAAGATGATTGTAATTTTGACCAAAAAGTTGGCTACCAGCCATTGAAAAGGACCTTTAGTTGTATAAATGAATCATTTTTCAATTAATAAATTCCTCTTCAGAACAGCACTTCCTGTCAGCTTGTTCTTATATTTAGCTAACAGCCAGGTACTAAGTGGGACAGTATCGTTAGATAGCAGGTGGTTCTACAAAATTAAACCCCTTAAGAGCTACCAGCCAACAATATATTCCAGTTGTATGAATGATGATAATCATCACAGTTGAAATAATCACAATAAAGTTAGTTTTTACATACCTCCTCCTGTATTCTACAGTATGAATTTCTTTGCATAGGCTGTCTTGGTAAAGGCATCACTGTTGAGGCCCTGGTTGTGGAGCATATTTCCTGTTCTTCTGCTTGGACAAAAATACAACAAATTTAAATGACATAAAAGAGGCAAGTCAACTCACTCATATCTTAACAAAATATCACTGTGTGCAAAACATGAATCCTTAATACAGAAGAAGAACCAAACACAAAATATGCCATCAAACTGCCTGGTTAAAAAGACAGAAAAGTCTGTATTTAGTGGTTTGATTGCAGTGAAACAAAGGACAGAAGAAGGTTGGATTGAGAGGGAAAAAGTGGGTGGTCTTTTGTACTGTAGTCAGGGAAATTATTGAGTGAGACAGATCAAACAGAGGGTTAATAACACTACTTCACACGCACTCACACAACTGAGTAGATTAGCCTGCAAGTGGTAATGAGGTTATAGTCAAGTGTTTTAGCAAAGACACACACATATTCTCTAGCACACACACAAGGATCCCTAATTAAAACTGAAACAAGCCTTTAAATAAAGCAGGGAGTGACTATTTTTAATAAAGCCAGTATGAAAATGTATTAAAATAATCACCAAGCAAAGACCCATTACTTTTCATGAAAAGGATGTCTCCATTCCTATTCAACATTACATGGCTTTGTTGAATGCAAACTTTGTGTCTGTGACCACACTTATAAAGGTTTCATTTGTATCTAATCACACGAATGGACTGAAAAACACATATTTGAGAAACCCTTTTAAAAACATTTTTGATTTATGTTAATATGACTGTTTATGAAAATGCTCTTGTAGCAAAATGTGTGAGTGTGTAGTCATGTTTTGTGTGTATAATGAGTCTGTGGTTTCCTCTCACATTGTTCTCCTGTAAAATTTTGCAGGCTGAAGTTGTTGAAGATGGTTCTGGGCCTCCTCCAGGTGTGTGTAAGAGGTCTGCAGACGTAGTGTCAGGTCAGGGCAATTCACATGCTGCTCCCACACCTCCCCTGGCTCTCTGAGCAGACCCTGTTAAAACCACAACCAGCAGCACACATACACAGACAGAAACACACACACTGAAGAATTAGATGATGATCACTGTATCTTTCTGTTTCAGACCCCTGCCTCTCTCTGTCTCTGGTCCCTCTCCCACTGGTAGTGATGGCTTACTGCTAAAAACCAGAGGACAATCCTCTCCATCTCTCTTTCTGTGACACAAAGGCCAAAAGAGAAAGGAAAATTATGCAAGAAGAAGAGGAAGTGGAGTAAAACAATACATGTCTGGGTTAAAGAACAGGATACACGAAGAGGGGAGAGGAGACACAAAAAACACGATAAACATGAACACTCTAAGCGTGGGTCTGGACCATACTTGTGGTTTAATCAGGCTGTATTAACACCTGCTCATGTAATACTATGCTTCATAGTCATGCCAGCCAATAATTTATAAATTTTTGTTTTACAATTGTTGTCCACAAAGTATATTCCATATCTGCTCTCCCATCGAGACACCCTCGAAAACTTGGGGATTTTTTCCCCCAAAGATTTATTTCTGGGCTTTTTGCCTTTAGAGCTCAGGACTGTGGGCAGAGCAGGAAATGAGGAGAGAGCAAGGGAGCGAGAAAGGAAAAGAGCCACGGGTCAGAAGCAAACCCAGGCAGTTCACTTGAGGCATACCTGCCGTAAATGGCCAGGAAAACTTGGTGAAATTTGAAGAAGTTTTGGAGTATGGAAAAATGAGCGATAACCACCCTGAAGTTAGGTTTCAATCTGTGATTTTCACAGCACTGTCTGATTTAAACAGCGGACATTTGGCCTAATGCTGCACTTCCCTTTGAATACCTTCTTATCTCCACCATGAACAGTATTTCATGGTTTCCCTAAAATGTTTTTCTTTTAAATGTTGTCTCATTTTCAGATCATTGACACAACTGTTCTGCTAATGTGAGATGCACACAGGTGCACACAGCCACTGTGCAGATTACGACATAGTACCAAGTTAAAGGGCTCTCTTACATCATATGCAACAGTGAAAAAAAATCACTTTGACTGCAATGTCTTTTTAATTTTAAACCCTTTCAAGTGGTAAATGTTCTCAGTTATAGTAAAGCTTGAATAGAGGAATTTGGGCCTGCCTTCTGTCTTCACAGAAGCCATAATGACTGTTATCAAATGTAAACAAAGCTCTCTTAACATTTTAAGTTTGGCATAGAGTACCTCTTACAACCCATCTTGAATAAAATCATCCCTTAAAGCTCCAAACAAAAGAGGCATATGCTGCACCAGAATAATTCTTCACAGTTTTGGCCTGAAGCAGGTTCATATGATTGTTGGCTGAGTGTCTTCACTGGAATAAAAAAAAACAAAAAAAACAACAACATCTATTTCCTTCTCTTCAAACCCCCGTTAAAGTGTCAGAAAGACATACTTTTTAAGCCTCAAAACTTACAAGTCGGTTTAACTTTAAACAGCTGTCTGTCACTTTTGATCATTGTAGATCATCTTGTCATTGAAGCTCTTTCCCTGGAGTGCAAGGTTTCTGATGTCTACTGACAAATCAAAGTTGAAAAGACAAAGAAAAGTCGCTTTTAGCAACAAGTTCCCATCTGACCTTTCTTTGCCCCTAAAACCCCCTTTAGACATTTTCGCATGCTCAGAAAGGAGATATTTGAAAGAAGGTGGTTACTGTCTCAACAAGGAAATGCAGAAAAAGGAAATAAAATAAAGATATATTTCCAGCACAATAGCTATCTTTTTGGTTGATTAAATATTAACCTTCCAATGCATTTACAAGGGCTACACAATTTTTCTGATTTCAAAACTACGGATGTAATTTTGGTGTTTTGAGGGTCAAACATTTCTATTCATGTTTCATCCACATATTATGATAGTTTACCCTTTATATCAACTGTAGAAATGCTCCATTTGCCATAAAATGGTAGATTTATATTTAACTTTGATATATTTTAAGTAGATAAATGATCTGCATCATCCTAACGTGCAGAACAATAGAACTTGTTTAAGTGTTTGGTGTAATTTCTGCAGAGTGTAACATTAGTGCAGTGCAGATTAACTTAAATGTTGTTGCTTTGTTTGAGGTGACCTTCAGTTGTTGTTTGGTGTTAAAAAAAAGGAGGGAGGATAAAAGGGGAGATATAGAGGGAGGGACAGGGACCCTGTCCTTGCTCCTATCACCATGGGATCGGTGGCCTGGCCTGACCACTTCCACAGCCAGCACCTCAACCTTATCCATCACCACTAGATAGTTATCACACCAGGGCGGGAGGGGTGTGGGGTGTTGGGCTGAGAGCAAAAGAAAAAAAGGGAACTCCCTGCACTAACCACACAATCACATATACACGCATAGACATGAAATTAATAGAGATACACCAAGAGATAGGGCAGAGATAGACAGGTTTGTGTTAAATAAAGATAAATAATGCATTCTCCTTCATGTTAGCACCAAGAGACCTCTCTAACACCATTAATGAACTCATCCGAACTATAGCCAGCTGGAGACGGGTCTGTGTGTGAGTGCGTCTGTGCATGTGTGTGAAGTGCAGCTAATAAAATGAGACGGATCCACGCCTCATTTCTGCTCACTTATGTTTTACATTACTTGAGACTAATAATAGGGAAAGCACTTTGCCATAAAGAGCTACAGAGCGTAAATAACACAAATGGTGAAATGGCTCCTCGTGAAATCATCAACATACACAAGCACAAATGAATGCAAAGATTCCTAGAAGTCGAAGTTTGCATGCACAAATACACAGCTGAACTCCGACGATTTGAAGAAAGTTAAGACAGTTTCTTAAACAAAAGCAATTGTTTAACTGGCATGACAAAGTGGTTAGGTGAAACAAAGTGGTAGAAGAGAACAGGACCAGAGACCCAGAGTCTTCTGTAAAAGAAATGGCTGATACAGATAATCATCCAAATGCTGAATATTGGCCCCATAATTGCCCGAGGCAGATGATTGGTCTGCATCTAATGGCAAGCAGCCAGGTTCAGATTGGAACCCATCCTGGTTCACCCCTCCTGTTAATGAAGTTTCAGAAGTGATGGTGGACTTTGAGGAAAAGAAACTTGCATAATCATCCATTTGTCAAATTCAAACTATCATACATAACTATCATAAAATTTCTTTTTTTTATAACAGAAACCACTCTTCTTCTCACTCTTCTTCCTCCTCTTCATCTTCCAACCAGTGCACTTCTGGTGGTCTGAACTAAATACTAAAAAAAAAAAAAAAAACACGCACATGGCCTTTTCTAGATTGTCTGCTTGGTGCAACTGCAGAAACATGGCGCTGCAAAGCTGTGGAAATGGACTCCTTTTATCACAAAAGTCTTAGTTTCAGTTCACAAATGATTTTTTTTTTTATTAAGGTGACTTCAAAATAATCTAGACATACTTTTGGATTTTATATATGGTTTTTACAGTTTCCACAGTATGTTCTACAATACGTTCTGATTAATGCCACTTAATATCACAACCTGTACCTTTAAAGCTCAATGTATGAATTTCTTTGATGTCATCAATATATTGTAAAGAGGAATATTTCATGATGCACTTCAGACAATTTCTGTAACTTGAGATCCTGCCATTTTCGTGAGTGTCCTTTTCTATTTGCAGCCCACAGCCAGAGATATTTTTGTATCAAACACGTTCTTAACTGAACATTCACAAAGTTTGTTTTAAAGGAGAGTTGGGGCAGGGAGAAAACACGCAGGATGAGAAGAACTTGTTGAAGATTATGGTTTTTTCAAGTCTCAAAAATACGTACCTGTATATTTGGACAGATCCAAAGTAGGCCATTACACAGACCTTGTAATATGGGGTATATACAAGTAATATAATATATACAATATACAAGTTAAATATTTGATAGCCATTAATGTACAAAAAATAAATAATGAAAATCAATTCAAGAAAAATATCAAATTGAAGCTTTAAGATGTGTAATTCAAATTTAAAAAATATATATATAAATATAAATTACATCAAAGTTTATGTGGAAATGAACCCTGTCTCAAAGCACAGATTATACTTGCTGGTACAGCTACATTTAAATTATCAGTAACACAAATGAGATGAGTGCATGGGACCGACATCTGACAGTAACGTGTAGCAACGCTGTCAAACAGAAACTCAAGTGCTCTCTGAAATGGAGACAATAAATGGCCCCGCAGAGAAGCCCCCAAGAGAGCTGTCTGCCATGTTTTAATGATGTCATTCTTCTTTAAAAGGAGTTTTAAAGGATCTCTGCTTTCATCAAGAACCAACTCCACTGGGATGAGAAAGGGTTGATGGGGGGGCTCTAATAATTGGTATGACACTTTGTAATAACTACATCTGTCTTTCACCTCTTGCATGTATTCTAGTCCTTTCTTTGATCTCATTCTTCCCTTAAATTCTTTGTTTACTGTGTGATTTTCTTTTGTACTGCTGTTTTTCTGTCTCTGCCCATTTATCGATGTCATGGTATTAAGTTTTAACATCTTACCTGCTGTTTCTTGCTGGCAATGGGGGGCAGTGTAAACCTGGGAGAGCAGCAGCTTCTACGAGTTTTGATCCATGGAGATTCACGTGTCCAAGGGACACTCAGGGCTGCTGGGCTGGGCATGCCCAAGACACGAGTCCCGCCCCCAGGGGCCAGTCTTGTGGGGGGCTGGTACTTGACCTGCCTCAGCAGTTGTTCCATCTCATGGGGGGCTGGCTTGAATGGAGGGTTGAAGACCCCTGGGCACTGAAAGGAGAATGAGAGAGAGAGAGAGAGAGAGAGAGAGAGAGAGAGAGAGAGAGAGAGAGAGAGAGAGACAGAGACAGAGAGAGAGAGTATAAGTAAGAACAATGAAATATGATGGGGTGCTTATGTTCATGTCTTTGTGGACTGGCTTTGAGCATTTTGATCTCCTAGTTATTAAAATGTCTGTATGGTTGAAAATACATAGGAAAATGTAGATGATAACATGTCATGTATTTTCCCATTACATTTTGATAATACTTTCATATAGTGTCATTAAGGTATGACGGACGGATGGATGGATGGATGGATGGATGGATGGATGGATGGATACAGAAACTAAAATTCAAAAGTGGTCACCTTCTTAGACTGCTAAGTAAAGTAACTAATAATAGTCATTTAAAGCTTTAAGCTTAATACTTGAAGTTGATTTGAAACATCAGTTTAGGTTATCATACAGTATATCCCCAATGTTGCCCTTTTTACTGCCTTGGTTGTTATTACTACCTCGTATGCATACGCCAATGGGTCAAGTACTGCGCTACTTTGTTGTAAGTCTGCACTTCATGAAAATTGAAGAAGTGATTATCTTGCTACATCTGTCCAAAATATATATATATTTTTTTTCATAGAACAATGATGATAAATACAGTATTTACACACATGCAAAACTTAGCCTTCCCTTGTTGTAAATTGCGGCTCAAATTTGCCACAGACGGCTCAGTAATAATTATTCAAATCACAGTGATCCTTTTTCCTGTGTGTTAATTACCAGACCAAAGCTTTGAGTTGGAGGACTCTGTATCTACTCTATATGCTAATAACACCCCTTGCTATTTAGGCCACTCTAAAAGAGTGGGACAACCGAGAGAGGGAGGAGAGAGAAAGGACATAAGAGGGAAATTGCTCCAACTATATTAAGCCAAACCTCTCTTTCTTAAAATAACAAATTAACTGACTGGTTAATTAGTAAGTGTTTCATCATTGGACCATGAGTGCTTATGAGGTAAATGTCAAATGTTTCAGCACAAGTAGAGACCCTGATTTTCCTAACATGGGTTGTAGGCATTAATGGATAACAGCAGATTTTAACCTCCTTTCCAAAATCATTACAATTTTTACATATTCTCTGCTACAGGTGTTTAAAGTGACAGCGAGAGGTCCTTCAGTGTGTCTCTAAAGTTAATGCAACTGTTGACGTGGGGTGTCTCAAACCAAACTTTGTCACACCCCTGTGTTAAAAATTATGAGCTGGTTCATGCAGATGTTACTCTTCACTATATGACTAGATTGTTGTGAGACTCTGCATTATGAACAAGCCTTGTCCGTGTGTATAACTTATTTTGATACCCCATTTCAAAACAAAGGTTGTGTTTGATTGCAGGATCTGATGATTGAGACATAGAGAAAAGCAAAAAGAAACTGTGAGAGGTGGTGAGGGCCTTAAAGCTATAGTATGTGTGAAGAGGGGAAAGCTGTTGGTGCCATGTGTGGGTTTGGGTGAGGAAATAAGGAGATGAAAGATGAATACAATGAGAGAAATAAAGTCACTCTTTAACACAAACTGAAACTAGAAAAGCACTATGAGAGCGCAGATCTCCGCCAAGCAGCTCATGTCCCCCCTTATATTGTGATTCACACCAGAACTTTTAGTGTTATGTGTCTTTTATTAATGTTTATTTGTGTTTAAACTGGTATGTTCACTGTTCATAATGTTCCTAAAACAAGAAATGCCCTGACCGGGACCCAGGACCTTCTGGTTGTGAGGCGACAGTGCTAACCACTACACCACTGTGCTGCCTATCTACACCACTGTGCCGCCCATTGGTTATCTTTCAGCATTGAAAATTCCAATGACACCCTTATTTTTGTGTGTTCTGGATCACAGTATCCAGAATTTTTCCGGATCACCACCAAAATTTAATGGGATCCTCGTGGGGCTGAGGCGCACCTCTGGTGAAAATTTCAGGTCAATCCGTCTGTTACTTTCTCCGTAAAGTTGCTAACAGACAAACGAACTCACAAACAAACAAACAAACCAACAGATAACCAGATAACACAAACCCATAAAGTTTAACCATATTTCAACAGAACAGAAATGTTAAAACTTGATAAACACAATCTTTCTAATTACATGAACTCACCTGACAATCAAGCATTGAAGGAAATAGCCTGTCAGTCAGTTAGCAGCCTGTTAGCTCATCAAGCATACTGTCCTATATTTGAGATACTGCCTTGCTTGAGAACATAAATCAGCTCGAAATGCTTGTACTTCATGTCTTAAACAGATTTCCCAGCAGCCTAGAGCAAGACTGCACTTAGTTGCATTCACACTCTCTTATCCTTTGACCCTTTAAAATGTCACAACAACAAAATGGCAAACAATCAAGCATTTTTACACCAGACCATTTCAAACAGCTATAAAACCACATTAGAGTGGGTTTATGGAACAAAGTATCCCATAAACCGTATGGGCAGCAGTTTAGCATCATATTCCTAGTTACAAGTTTTGCTGCATCACAATGCATCACAAATCGGTGAACATACCTTATTCAAACTGGGGGGTTCAGAGGACCAAGAAAACACACATTAAACACGCACATACACCAAAAAATCCTTACCTTTCCATAAGATACACATACGCACATGCTTACACACCCTCAAACAAGCACATGCAAGCCCAAAAGTACCAGCCTAGCTACGGGAAGAGCAATGATGTTGACCCCAGGAACACACCATCTCTGTCTCTGTCATAGGGACTTGGGGCCTTTTGGTAAGCCGTGCGTGTGTGTGACTGTGCGTGTGTTTGTCTGTAACTGTGTGTGTGTGTGGGCTGGGGTCCGAGCAGTGAGGAAGGATGAACTGTGTGGGAGAGCCATCTATTCACTGCTGACAAGGTCAGAGCTACGAAGGGAAAGAGTCCCCTGCCATATGTAGAGAAAGAGAGACAGAGAGAGTGAGCCAGCGAGAGATAGAGGGAGATGACAGAGGGCAGAGAAGAGCATGGAAACTTTCTTGTCTTTCTCATCTTCATGCTTATATCACTGAAATGATCATATATGGCATGACGGTAGTGAAATACAGCCGATCCAAAAGATTTAGAGGGTTAAACAAAATGCAACTCAAGAGTTTCCTCAAAGTGGCAACCAGCTTACCTGCCTGTATGATGAAGTGTTGTGAGGTTTTGTGTATGTGAGTGTTTTAGATGAAGATGGAAACTCTGCATAAAATAGGTTGTAAGTGTGATGATGACGAAGCTGGTCTCACAGGGACAAAGAACAGAGAGGGAGAGAGAGCCAGAGCGAGCGAGAGAGAGAGAGAGAGAGAGAGAGAGAGAGAAAGAGAAAGAAAGGGGTCTGGTGGTGCTGAATCAACAGTGACCAGTGCACTTTGTCTTCATTATGATCCCAGTGGGGAGTCACAGAGATGCTTGGATGCCACACACCCACTCAGACTCTCTCTCATACACACACACATGCATGAACACCTGTGCCAGGGGAAGCACTAAAATACTCCACTCAGCACATCAGTAGAGCCTTGAGGACACTTACTTACTTGTGTGTGCACATACACACACACACACAGTATCAGAGAGCCTAGCCCACCTGGGCTAACAAAGGAAGACTTTCTTTTCTGCTCTCTGTAGGGAACTACTACTCAGTGACTGTCTCTTTGCTAATCCAAGTCCTGACAAAGCCTTTGCATTTGTTATGTACATTAAGAAAGTATAATTGTGTTAACTTTCTCAGGACAAAGTTTCCAGTGAGTCTTGTCATATTTGAGACAGACATAGTGACACTGGATTAGTTACATCCAACCAGAAAGTTACCATTTCTATTTAGAGTTAAACATTGTTTGTGGTCTTTGTTCACCTGCTGTGCATTAGTGAATGTGATGACTACAATTGCACACAAATGAAGACCTAATTTAAATAATTACTTGGTTTTCTGTAAATATATGTATAAATAAAACCTCTGAATATTTATGCTGATTTAAGGTTTGTTACAGAATAATTTTTTAAACCTTTGAGTCTTTTTGAAGAGGACCATGGCTGGAGTCAGAAACAGGAAGAAAAATGGACCGTTGATTTGAGATATGAGCCTCAACACTTGTGGCATGCAATTTGTACTTCAAGTAGACCCGTCACCACAAATGTAAAAGTTTTTCCCAAATATCGTGTTTTTTTTCAGCCTTTCTCTCCAACTAATGCAGTTAATGGTTTACTGTGAAGTGTGGGAGTTTATATCAACCTTTCCCTGTACAGAATAACACACTAATATTACAATAAAAATTCAGAAATATCAATGGGATCATTGATATCATTATTACAGTGATTATAAAGGCTAAAATTCAAACTTATAGAATTACACAGACAACAATAATCATTTCAATGTAGTTTCTACTAAATATTTGGATAATTTTATGCAGTAATGGTTCCAGCAGCAGAATTTTTAATTGAGTCAAAAACCTCATCTTGTCTACCATATCACTACTGACTGTCCACTTCTTCATACCCTCCCTCTGCTGACTGCTTTACACTGGAGCCTGATTGCACAGCACTGCAAGCTGAAAGCATCAACATGGTGCCGCTACCCTTATTTGTTTTGACACTCACTCCAACATTATGCAAGGTCCTGTCATATGATGCTGATTTCAGTCATGGCTCGGGGATTGTTTTTTATGTGCTCAACATGACGTTGCTGAGTGATTCAACCAAAAGTTGTTTTGAATGAAGGCTTGCAGTTGTATGAATGCTTATACGAACAGTTTTGTCTGGACTATTTTATGCGGTCTTATTAACTGTGGTTTACACTCAGCAGTAATTGTTTTTTACAGTCAGATGCGGGTCTTATGATCAGAATACCTATGTAGAATTTGCAAAATTGAACATGTGTTTGTGTAGACTGACCTGCTTTGTACTGAGGAGGTGGTGTGACCGGTGAGCCAGGTAGACCTTGGCTGTCTGCTCTTTCACAAGTTCTAGACAGTTTTTCTCTCTCCTCTGGAGTTCTTCAAGCTCATCCAGGTCCCTCCTGCAGGACACAAACACCATACAAAAATATTGTGTGTAAATGAAAACTCCAATCTACAACTTCAGTTCTTAAAAAGTTGAGTAAGATGTGGTATGACAAAACAAAACATGACTGTAGTGGAAATCCCAGTATGGGCTCAAAATCACTACCAAATAATTCTGTCTGTGAACACAGTTTGCTGCTGTATCCATGTCAAAACTGTACCATGACAAGAGGATACCATGAACATGATCCAGAAACATTAGTGTCTTCTGGAGACCCAAACACACATTCAGCATGGAATAAGGTTGAGGTTAAAATTGTCCTATGGTCTCTTTTTGGACATCATGGACACCGCATCCTGGGCTCAAAAGAGGAAAGGGACAACCCGGTGAGTTGTCAGTGCCTTTTATATCTACAAAGTGACAGGTCTCCTTCCACAGAGGGCGCCATTTGACATGGGACCACCATGTTTCTACCCTGGCACAGAATGAACAGAATTAAAACATTCCAGATTTTAGTTAGCAAGAGGCCACACAAATAAAAAAAATAAATAAAAAAAAAAAAAATGCATCAGATTTCATATAGCGCTTTATCAGAGACCCTCAAAGCGCTTTACATTGGATACATCATTCATTCGCTCACACAGTCACACTTTGGTGGTGGTGGAAACGTGGCTGCCATTCTGCGCCTACGGCCTCTCCGACCACCACCACACAACACTCACAATCATACACCAGTGGAGGACACACACTGGGAGCAAGGTGGGTTAAGTGTCTTGCCCAAGGACACAACGGACAGACTTGGATTAGGGGGGAATCGAACCGCCAACCTTCTGGTTATTGGACGACCGCTCTACCTCCTGAACTACTGCTACTGCAAATTACACCAATTTGACGACGAAGAAGAAGAAGACAGTTTTTCTGTCCTCATAAGCTACAGTCCTCTAACTGTAGAGAGGGGTGAGTTGGAGAATTTTTAACCTGGAATCTAATCACATGATATTCAAAAATATTCCCCTTTCTGTGCACTGTACCTTCAGAAATATGCAAATATTGTCATAAAATTATAGCCGTATTCAATTTTAACATGGGTTTGCACTATTTTCAATTAAATGCAGGGTTTAAACGATTTGTAGACCATCAACATTTTTTTTTAATCAACAACTTACACAGCGTCTTAACTTTTTTTGGAGTTGGGGTTGTACATGTTAGGCAGGGATCATTGTTAAAAAATAAATCTGGTAGATACACCTACACTGAAACCGTAAAGTAGGGAGTGCATACATACTTTTTGTACATCTCCTCATAGATTATAAATGTAATTTTGCTAAGCGTTATACAAAAGCCCTAAAAACAAATCAGGGGTTAACTTTTCTTATTTATATTTGAGAAATTAGAATGAAATAAGAATTTACTCTGCGGTCTTTTAAAGCTAAACATAATGTTATCCTGTTACATATCATATCAAAGACTTTTCCATTTACAAAACAAATCTGTACAGAATATTCACTCAGTGTTCGTATGTTTTTGTCGTGTTGTCAAGTCAGATGTCACCTGAAGTCCTTTTTGGGTAGGTGAAAACAACACTGCCTCACAAATCAAAAGAAAAAGGACAGAGAAACTGTGAGGGAAAAAAAAACAAGAGAGCTAGACGGCCTGAACAGAAAAAAGCCTAGTTAGAGCACAAGAGGCTCTAAGTGGGAGGATGATGGATATATTTCATCACCGCAGTCAGGACAGGTCCGTCTGTGACATCTGTTAAGCGGAGCTGGCTAAATGGGATGCATTAAAAGCCCATACACAGCAATTTCATTCTGCAATCACACAGCCTTATTGTTACAAGGGGGTAATAACTTAAAAAGGGAAGTGGAAACAATTACTAAAACACGCATGCAATGGTAATGGGAAAATGCAAACACACACACATACACACACACACAGCTAGGAGCAAAGCTATACCTCATCAACAGCCCTTTGCTTTCTCGTTTTTTAATCTCTCCTCTTTTCTTTCCTACTTTCCCACTGCCTTCTTCTCTACCCAACTTCTGTTTTCAATTACAAGTCTCCACAGAGGAATCGGAATATTCATAGTGTGTCCATAATGTGAGGTTAACACATTCGGCAGCTACTGACATTTAAAAAGAAATCACAACACCCGCTCCCATTGCCTTTGCATTCTCATTCCTTCCTCTGCGCCACATTAAATTACAAAATAAATGAAATATGCAGAAGACTCTGTGTGTGTCGATGTGTGTGTGTTTGTGTGGTGAGAAAGAGAGAAAGTGTAAATGCCTGTAAAGGTGTGTCTATGTAATATTTAGCAGAGTAATTTAGGATTGTGCATATGTATGTAAATATAGAGGTTGCTTGGCCCCTATTTGTCCAGCTGGCTAAAGGGGATATTACTTATTAATGTAAAATATAAAGTTTTAGTTTATTGTGGGACAGTTTGGTTCACAAACTGATTTGTGCATGTGCTGTGTTTATAGTACATGTGTGCATTTCTGTTCATTCGTGCATTAATACAGCCTTAAAAACGGTTTATATGTTTCAGGAGGTCAGGACCTGTTCCTATATTTCTAACTGTGTGTCTGTGCCAAGAGTGAAACTGTGTCAATGTGTGTGTGTGTATATCTGTGTATTAGTGATGATACTGTGTTCACAAATTTCACTATGTGTCTAAAAGCGTATGTGTGCAAGAAAGTGTGTTTGGATGTGTATATGTGTGTGTGAGTGTGTGTGTGTGTGTGTGTGTGTGTGTGTGTGTGTGTGTGTGTGTGTGTGTGTGTCAGGCTGAATGGGTGACCTTTGCTTCCCTGCCCCCAGCCCCAGTGTTATTAATTGCTGTGTAGTGGACAAAAGCCAAACAGATTTGTAACGGCTGAAGGCACCTCGATCTGTGTCGACCCACCCAGCCGCCACAACATACAACCCTCATTAGCCCTGTTCGGCACGCAGCACTTGCCCCGTGCGTGTGTGTGTGTTTGACTGAGTGAAAGTGAAAGAAAGCAAGAGAGAAAGCTAGACAATAAGAAAAGCAAGAAAGTAGAGTGAAACAAAAGCCTGCTTTTCGGTTACAAAAAACATGAACGTTAACACCTTTGAAGCAGAAACGCAGGTTTTCTCTTCCCCTAACTACGATGATCTGTAAACTGAGAGTGTCAAACATAAGCTGGTCCAAATGCTGACTTGCTTTTCTTGTGGCAGAAAGCAGAACTTGAATGTAAGTCTATATAAACTTATTTTGGAAAGCTTATTTTAAAAAAGACTTTATTCTAATAATACAAAACATTTTAATCAAAAGTTTAATGCTTGTGATGCATTGACCACCTTTGAGTTACAGTTTGATGGAAAACATTTTAGATGAATCAAGAGGGCACACAAAGAGCGAGAGGGAATGTGTTACATTTTTCATAGGTATGAAAACTTCCCAATCTTTTACATGGAAGACGCATTAGACGGTGATCACTTCATGGCCGGTATAGACTGAAGGAATGATTAAGGTAAGCAAAATCTGTTCCAGTGTATATATGAGCAGCTGATTACACTTAACCCTATTTTTAATGTGTTCTGGTCAATGAAAATATATTTAGAGCTTATACATAATTCTACTTGAAGGTCATGCTATTTTAAGACAAGGTGAGGGTATTACTACGAATGTGCTTTATAATGCTACTACATTCGTATTATAATGTACAGTATTTCATCCTATTCGAATTCTCATTTGATATTTGGATTACTCAGACAGTTTGCTTTACAAATGACTGTTTTATAATTATATAATTTATTATACTTGCATGGTCAGACATACTAAAATCACATGCTTTGTATTGATTCTATGACTGCAGAAGCAATAAAGGACAAGTTAACCAAGCATTCGTGAACTACTTAAAGAAACTCTGAGTGACATTTTCACCTCATACTGTTAACTTATTTAAATGGCTAATATAGAACAGTTAAATTTCCTACTTCTCCCTCAATTATTTACCCCCCGGTTCACCATAGGGCATAACATGATGATGGGATATTAGAGAGGGAGGCATTGTGGGACAGCAGGCCACACCTGCGGTCTTCCAGGCCAACACCAGAGCAGCTAATTGGCCAGGCTCTAAATATTTAATGGAGGCTTGACCTGATTGGCTGTTTTAATTGCTCCAATTAAATGATTCAATAGCTGGCAAGGAGGGGGTAGTCAGTCGGTCAATTTAGCCAGTGACCGACTCAATGTATTGAGCCTTCAACACCCTTATAAGAGACTTGACTGATTGATTTATTCATTCACTGAACAAGTTCAAGAGATGGTATGAACAAGTGTGAAGCAAATAATGAAATTCTTCATACTTTAAAAAGAGAAAAACCAAACAACTTACAACATTCTACATATTTTCTTCATTATTTAACTCTCCAAAAGTTATTTCTTCAAGAGGAAGAGAGCACTGCAGCTTTATTTCAACACACACATGCAAACACACACGCACATTCACACACAGAGAGAAAAGGAAATCCAATCAGACGGCAGAAGTGAACTTGTCTCCCACCAAACTGGATCAGAAAGAGAGAGAAGCAAAAGAAAGACTGACGCATAGAAGCGGAGAGTGATCGCAGGGCAGGCTTGCAGGCATTCCCGCTCTCTCTCCAGCGTAGCAGCTCTCCTTTCATGAATGTCCTTGAGAGGGACACAAAAGAGGGAGGAATGAAGAAGGCTGGAGTAGAGAGAGACAGGAAAAAAAAAGAGAGCAGAGAGAGGAAGAGAGACAGCACAGCATCACTTTTTGCTGCTCAGCCTAGCAGCACCGAGTCCATAAATTCTTCCTTGTTCTCTTTCGGAGAAGTTAAAAAGGTTCTTCCATGCCGTTGCAACATCACAGGGAGAATTATTTATCTGATTATGGCAGTAATAATTACCCAGCTGTTTACTGCAGATAGAGGAATTATTCATGCAGTCAACAGGCCGTGTTGGTGGCGGCAGCGATGACACAAGCACATTTAGTAAATATGCAAAGCGGGCTTGCTCCGCTTTCCTAATTGCTCCCATCGTCCCACTGCATGCCCTTATTAAAGCCCAGGAACTTTAAGTGTCTCCCTGACAAAGTGATAAATTGTTGGGGTACCAAGGAAAACTGTGGCAGAGTGGGGACTGCACCGGGGTCCTGACTTCATTAGGGTATGCAGAAGGAGAGGAAGGATGAATGAGGACGGATGCAGAAGCTCAGTAAACGGCTGACAGGGAGAGAGAAGCATATGGACAAAATAGAAATCGAAGGAAAGAAGAGGAGAAAAGCAGGAGGAAGGCAAAGTGAGGCCAGAAGATATCAGAGGGGAGTGTAAGTAGTGTGTATTAGCTGTATGCTGTACCTAATGAAATGACACAGATGGGAAGATCTGTCATCAGAGAGAGACTAAAAGAGAGTCAGAGAAAGAGAGAGAGAAGAGCGAGGGAGAGAGCTTCGGCAGTCTATGTTTTACTCCTATATCATTACTGTGCACAGCCGATCAGCCTGCACTAAATGGGGACCATTAGTCTAACTTTGAATAATTTATGCAGCAGGTTAAACGGACAGACAGATCTACAAGAGGGAGGGAGCAGGTGGATTAAAAGTGGACCTTTACGGGGTGAGTGATCAGGCAGTGAGCGGTCCGAGGGCTTGGTAGCTAACACAGAAAGGATATTTTAAATAAATGCCGGCATGGCGTTAATTGATCATGATCCCTGCAGCACTAAATAAACATGTGATTAACTGGAGAGAAAGTGACCTCAACACCCTAAACTGCAGAGGAGGAGGGGCTGTGCGAGAGTGTGAGGAGGAGACTGAGGCTGTCAAAGAGCTGATAACAAAACAACCTACAAACCGAACCTGTGGGATATCATTATATTATGTGCTTCTTTGAGTATTTTTTTAAACAATAGTTTACTCTTCATTTTACAGAAACATATTATTAATAACAAAAAGGTTAACGTATCAAATTAGCTATAATTAATACCTATTTGTTAAGCGAGGCCTTAAAAAAATGCTATTTTATAGAAGAGGAGGTACAAGGTATAAGAGGTATGAAAATGGTTGTAGAGTAATAAATAACAATTTAACAAAGTGTAGGAAAGAATTTAGGTCGAATCCTAACTAAAATTTAATAAACATGAACACCAGATCAGCAGCATAACTTCTTTAAATACTCACTCCAAGTTTTTTTTTTTTTAATTTAAATAAAAAATTTTAATAATTTTTTCCTAAACATTTTAAAGATACGAGCTGTGATTGTGTCCTCTGTTAGACAAGAAAGAGAGGGGAAAAAAGTGCAATTTGAATAGTTTTGTATCTTGAATCTCAATACCAAAACACCTGGCAAAGTTGTGTCTCTTTTTATGCGTGTTTGTACTGCACATCTGACTCTTTCGGCTGTAATAACAAAATGACAACACTGTCTTAATGGACTTTTACAGCCGAGCCTCCCCCCCGCCTCTAACAGGGGCACAGGGTGTGGAGGAAAGGTGCAACGCTGGTGGGGATGTGAGGGGGGGGAGCCAGTGATCCAAGGAGCACTTTAACAAATTTACATTTAATTTTAGCAGAAGCCTAAAGATATTTTCTTGTAAAATATATTAGCAACATTAAAAATGTGACTATTAGCTAAATGTGATGGAGTTTTTTTTTTTTTTTTTGTCAAAAATAAAAGATAGCATATCTCTAGCAGGAAGCCCTGGAGCACAGGATGTTTTATTAATGCACAAGCTGCGGTTCAAATCAGAGGCTAATTTTTAATTTCTTCACATCGTTCACTTCTCTCTCTCCCACTCGCTCTCTCTCTCTTAGCCCTGAGCACTTTAGGGGGGACTCTCATCTTCCCTCTCTCTTTTTTTGTCTCTCTATCTTTATCTTTCATTCTTTCACTTCTCCTTTCCTCCCCCTCTTTCTCTCTTTACCTCCTCTGAGGTAATAACCGCAGATGCTGAATCTCACCAACACCTTTCTTTCTCTCTCTCGCTCTCTCTCTCATATGCAAACACACAAACACACATACATAGGTATATTTAACAGTAATGGGCACACAAGTTCACCTTTTCAGCAACTGTCTTTACACCAATCAAATTAATTAATTTCCATCAACTTTGACCTAGTTTTTTGTGTTTTATCACATAATGTCCATTGTAACTGTTTGTAAAGCATATCTATCTATTACATGTCAACTGAGATAACTGTTTTTTTGCTGTTGTTGTTTGTTTGTTTGTTTGTTTGTTTTTGCATTATGCTAGTTGTAGTGGCATGTAAAGAATATTGCTATATGCACCATATGACAGAGAAAATGAATGACACAATAGACCTAACCAACAAAGTTAAATGATAAAAGGAAAAGTAAACGCTAAGTCATCTATATAAAACTGCCCTCTCCTTTGTTTCACCAAATTCAGCACTATTTTGTCACACTTTTGGATTATTTTACCTGACAAATTCATTGTTCACGAGAACCCCTCTCAGGTAGCGCTTGCGTGCGTAGAAATTATGAGTATACTTCCTCACAAAGAATCCTCTCCATCTCCGCTGGATCTAGGGATTGAAGCACACACAGGATTTCTTAAGACTCAAGTCCAAATGATTTCATCATGCAAACAAGAGCATGTCACGGCAGTGTTGATGTTGTATTAGGCTTTGCTTTTCAGATTTCCTTTTGCCATCATGGCAGGCAATGTCTAACAAATTGCAAGTATCACACTAAATCAGAAGGACAGAGAAATTCTCTCTTTTCTTTGTACTTGCTGTCTAGATACAGTCTACATTTCTTTTATTTGCAGAGGACATTAAGAATGTAAATATATAATATCACTTCAACACACTGTATAGGAGAACTATTTAACACCATGAATGACTATGCCGGCATTTTTTCAGTGCCAAAGGGGAAGGGGCAGACAGCTGTCACAGACCCATTTGTTTAACTGTATCAGTCCACACTGATTGTCAAGGCTGCAGATTATGAAGCACACACACACACACACACATACACACACACACACACACTCATGCCATTGGGCCGTTTTAAAGCAAGGGGGCGGATGTCCTTCAGACTAATTAGGAGATTAAAACGATGGCAGGTAAAAGAATAATCACACTATGAGAAGAGGGGAGAGGAGAGAAGAGGAGAAGTGGAGGATGGGGAAAAACAACAAAGAGCAAAATGAGAATTAGCATTGATCTGCCAGTCAATAGATAATTTTAAATAAAGTAATTGCCGCCTCCCAAGTTCTTGCTGACCTTTGTTGACCAGTGAAATCGATGCTGTTGAATCTAATACAAATCCGAGGTGCGGCATGTAAACACTGGTTTCTATTACGACTCTAATACATTATCCTCTGTTAGCTCCCACGCTGTGATAAAGACAACAGGAGGGGAGAGAAAAAAAGAAAAAATCAAAATTGATTCAAAGAAAGTGTCACAAGGGGATTCTGAGATTATTGTTTCTCCCTTTGTGACTCCTTTTTCTCTTTCCCTCCGTTTCTTTTTTTTCCTCATGCACCAAATGTTGCTTTGATTACAGATGGTCTCTAAGTACAGATGACCTTCACTTACACGCTTTAAACTTGGGTCACTCTTCCAATACATTTTAGTTGCGTGCATGAACAAGAAATATTAATCTGTTATTCCCAAAAGCCAAATATCAGAAAAATACCTTCACGATATACAACAGTTCTCACAGTCTAGCTAGCAATTTGTAAAAATAAGGCAACACAGAATACATCAAAGTGTGCCTTTAAGTGTCAAGTCTGTAAAAAATAGTCTTTCTTTAGAACAGAAGACATCACAAAATGGTCCAGGTTCTGCTTTCATTCCTTTAACACCTTATTTTTTTAATATAATATCTTTAAACCTTTTGAGTTTTTGAGTAACACAAAACTGTTGTTAATTTTGGATTAGCTTGCACACATAGTACAGCGCTCAAAGACAAGATACTAATGACCAAATAAAAAAAAAATAAAAAAATAAAAAAATTGGTTTAGAGTGTTGAAGATGGTGTTTTTAAGAACTCTATATTTTACTGGTGTTTTTGAAGAAAGTCTAAGAAGAATAAACTAAGAAAACCACACAAAATAAAATGCCAAACCTGCACAAAGACTTCCATTTGGATTTAAACTCAGCAGCTTCTGAATTTCCTCACTATGAGCCACTTTGCCTCTCTTTTCACATCCATTTCTTCCATTAAAATTCCTATTGCTTCCTCGATGGGCTGTAAAAGGCCTCTTTTCTATAACTTCAGAGGCTTCTGCTGAGCTCTATATAGTGACTTCACCTTTAGCCTCTTCACCCACTGACCTTAAGCAGCTGGGTCAAACACTAACTCCAAGATCTATGTCTATCCTATCATGTGACATTTACTGAAGCAACTGGGTGGTCAGATTTTTATGTTTGGGTTTCTATTAAGTGTAAAACTTGAAGCTCTCAATTTCCAGGCTTTTCAACCAATATGAAAATATTGTAACCGTCTTTCTTAGCCTGGACAGCGACACAGCCTCTTCCATAAACACTGGTGGATTTTTTAAGGGGCCAATAAAACCCTTTAATGGCCGAGGCAGAGGGAAACTGTTAGCCAAAAGAGTAGGCTTTATGGAATTATAAATATATAAGGTTTCTGTGCAATATCCTTGTGTAAAAGTGCCAAAGCATCAGTCACAGCAAGAATAGCATGATTTATAGGTTGACCAGAAGTAGCTGTAGGGGGAATAAAAGGAGTATTTAAGTGGCATTAGCACCAAGGAAAATCATTTTTAAAAAAGCAACTCAATTAATTTTGCTCAATCAGAGATACAGTCTGCAGTTTGGCCTAAAGCAGAGCTTCTGAAGGCATTCTCTTTTCAGAAGGCCTTTAACCAAGAAATGTAGTGAAATGAAGTTTAAGGTCAGCTCATGAAAAAAAGAACAGTGACGTCAATGCATATGGTTCACAACAGTGTGATGTGTTAAAACTTGAGAAAAGTCTTTGTAAAAAAAGGGAAAATGTGCAAATATACAGTATGTATATAACATACATTTAAACGTCAGATTACAATTGACCATTTTTGCAATGCGGTGGTGTGATTAAGAGCTTACAGGCTGCTTTTCATGGGGCCTCCTATTCACAGCACACACAGAGAAAAAGAGAGTCCCCCCACCACGACACTCCATTTACTAAAACAAGACACTGTGGTGATATTTACCCTGACCGCCATCTCCTCGTAGAAATTCATCTTCATGATAAAATATGCCTCCTGTGAACACAAAGGAAAAGATGCCGTTACATCTTGTCTCCCGGCCCTCTGATCTGTCCACAGCAGGCGTCAAAGATAAAGAGCTCTTTATACATAATACATTGCACAGAGGCAGTGCAGATAGGGCCACTGTAGAGGGGAGGGAGGGAGGGAGGCAGAAAGAGAAGATAGGAAAGGCAAGAGAGAAAAGAAGAGGAAAAAAAGTCAGGAGGATGGAGGGAGAGAGAGAGAAAGAGAGGGAAAGAAAGAGAGAGAGGGTGGATAGCGGGACTTTGTATCAAGGGGAGGACGGGAGTCTCTTAATACACCAACGCAGACAAGGGCCAAGAAAATCTATGGTAGTCAAGCAGCGAGCTAATGGAGATGTATGACGGCCAAACGCTCTCCTCTGGATTTCATAATCAATGACAGCACTGCCAGCAGTGACAAACAAAAGGCCAGAGAATATTCAGCGGCGCACTCGACGAGCCGTCACACACCTAACGCTTCTGCCGACCACTGGGGGCACATTTCAGGAGCGAACTGGAGAGTCGGTCATAAAAGGGATTCATATCTCAACACGTCTTTTTTAATAACGACAGGGAAGAGAGGGAGCACAGGAAGGGGAAGGAAGACAAAGACTTGAAAGGAGGTTGTAAATTCAGCTTGATGCTTTGAGATGAGGCTTTGTGCATGTCACATTTCACATGATAAGGTCTGCGAGAGTGAGAGAGTAAAGGCAGAGAAAGAGAGAGAGAGAGAGAAAGAGAGAGAGGAGAGAAGAAGAAGAAGAGAATCTCTGTGGGCTAATTCAAAAGAGTGCACAGTGGCAATTTTGAGTGATTCAAATTAGTGCTCGTCTGTTTCCAAATGAGAGCAAACAGCCTCTTTTTAGCCCAAATGTGTGTTGTGACACATCCTTCATCGTTTATTTCAACTCCCCTCAACACCACCCCAGCCACCCAACCCCCCTATTCCATTTCTTGAACGTCTCCCAAACGGCGGCTGGCAGTTATGCTTTAGCAAACAGTCAATTTACAGGCATGATAAATAGCTTGTTGTGATACGTTTACAAAACTCAATCCAGGGGAAAATTATACGTGAGAGCGCTGGGTATTGGATCCGGTATCAACAATCTGTTCAATTAAGAAGCAGTTGGAGGCAATATGCTGAAAATGGAGCCTTGTTTTACAAAAGCACACACATACACACACACACTCACACTCACACTGTACACACAAACTCTACAACTCTTTCCTTCTCTCTATTCCTCTCCTCACTCTTCCTATATCCATCTCAGGAGTTGAGATATAGATGGAATTCCTTATCATATTGCATCATATTTCCTAAGTGCTAATTTCCCGATGTGTAATGAGTGAATTATATCTCTTAAGGTCAGACACAGGACTTAGGAATATAGCAATTGAATTCTAATGCATGCTATCATAACATAATCAATATATCTATAGCCATTCCAGGCGCTGGCTTACCTTTACCATTTGTCTGAAACGTGCCCTTGCTGTGAAGCCCCGCCATATCTTCTGGATAATGACTGCCTTCTTGTGCAGATGGCTGAAAAAAAAGATTTCGTACTCTCAGTTGTTGAAAAAAAGAAAAACACAGAAAAAAAAGTTATTGTGATTCAGAGGTTGCAGATGATCCAAGAGAGTAAAATGAGAAAAAAAAATCTAAAAAAAGAACAACAAATAAAATACCAAACTGGAAAAGAATTAACTCAGATGAAAAAAAGGAAATGCAACTTATTTAAAAAGACATCCCCCTTTAATTTAATGCAATTTCAAGACAACATGTCAAATTTTTAAACATTCAAGTATAAAAGGATGAAATTACTGGTTTTGTTTTTTGCATACAAATGTTTGGTTGTAAAAGACTTCGATCAAAAGGTCACAGAAACATTATGCTTAAAAAAGAAACACTCTTATTACACACACACACACACACGCACACAGAACATTTCTGCTGCTCCAGGCTTCTCGATCATGTCTGATGAGCCTTTCACCTCCTTTAGTAGGCGGCACACATTTGTATTCATCTTCTAACATACTCTAAATGCAAGTCCACCACGATTCTCTGCCTCCAACGAGGCCATCAATTTCCAAAAGGCCATTCATATGCCCAGAAAATCAATGCTTATAGTGGGGAAAGCACAACCCCGGAGTTGCACTTAGGCAGCTAAAATTGTTGCTAATTATCCACTTAACGCATTGATCAATTAACTAAAGTAATCTGAATTAACCTACTGTCTGGAAGTTTGTCTGCTGACCCTGCAGAATGGTGCTGGGGTCACAGTACAGGAAAAAAAGCACAGAGATAGAGACATCCATTTCTGTGTGTGTGAAAGAAGTACAGAGTGCAAGCGACATTTATTCCTCAAGGCCATTTGCAAAGCTCTAGAAGTGGGATAATTATGAGAGTGAGGTGGTATCAGGGTTTCCCTTGAAATTAACTCTTCAGAGACCTGCCTGGATGTTTTTCAACCCCTGAAGGTAAAAGGCAAACCTCAAACGGGTAGATAAAATATTAAGGCTTTTATTATTTTGCCTTTAGCTTGTGAAAGATATTTTAAGACACCATTTTCCTTGTTTGCAGGCTCAAATAAATGAAACAAATATGATACAACCAGTGCATGTCCTACTACCATTAATTCTACTTTTACAAAGCTTCTGCATTTTCAGTTTTGTTGACATGGTCAGACAGATGATAATTGTTGACGTTCTAGTGGGTGTAGGTGGTGTATCATATTGAAAGGTGGCCCTTACATTTTTCTCCCCTCATGTTTGTGAATGAAGTGCACACCTATTTATCTTATAACACAGTGGTTCTCAACCGGTCTCACTCTGGGACCCAAATATTCCTTACAGTCCTTAGGTCACGACCCACTTTTATAGAATTCAAACCAAGCACATTTATTTTATGTATATAAAAAAACCTTTAAAGACTCAAATCTTCAACCATTTTATTGAGTAAGGTGCACTTTAGACACATGAACTGAGGACGACAACTACTAAAGTTGCATATACAGAAAATATCAAATATCCAATTGCACAAAATGGAGACCAGCAAAATGAAAAATTTGACATATATGCATCTCTGCATTCAGAGGATATTCAGAAGAACCTGAGGAGGACCATGTAACAGCATGGACAAAAGTGAATAAATATCAAATTGCACAAAATAACACGAAAAAAACATGTATTTTACTACATCAGGCCACATTAATAAGAAACAGAGGAGGGTCAAGACATAGCGTGTGCCTTTTCAAAATGAAAGACTTTTTTCACCAGCTCATCACGACCAATCCAGAACTTGTCTATGACCCACTTTTGGGTCGGGACCCACCAATTGAGAACCACTGTTATAAAACACCCCAGTACACCAACACCTGCCTGATGCCATTATTAATAAAATATAGAAATATGATTATCACCGCTCTGATTATGTTGTAGAAGCTTGGTAATAGCAGAATATATGGTACAGCAGCTGTTGGATTGCCCAGATGTTCATTATGTCATGGATGGCTGGTGAAGATGTCATACCTGAGGTAAGCTCGCACCCTGCAGGCTCTGAACCAGCTCTGAATCCGGATTGCGGCCTGGTTCTCCCTCTTCCTGTTCTCCTCGGCTTGGCTGGGCGACACAAACACACCAAATAGCAAAGCAGACTCTTCAGTGATTTGTTCTTAAAGTGTAGGTTGTATATTGAAAACCATTAAGTTGAAAATAATATTTATATCTCTATAGATTTGAAAACTGTAAACGCCGTAACAGCAATGGTAAGTAGAAACCATTCAAGTTGATTCGACGCCACTCAGGTGTTTGGTCAATTATCAAACCGTGTTGCTAGCGTTAGCCTTAATAATCTCAACGTTAATGGTTTTGTGTTGACTGTCAAACTCTTCATTATTGGTCAAAGACGGTCTTTCGGTCCAGTTAAGAGGTAGTAATCTTTTCAAAGGACACTCACTTGTGTCGGTGGAGGATTTCCTCTATGAACAGTTCAACTTGAGTTTCTATCTTCATCAGCTCCGCCATGTTTACTTCTCTCGGTTTACCTGTTGTCTTGACAACAAGTCCCTGTGGGCGGTAATGAGGCGTTCAGGTCATCTAGAAGGTGGGAATTTTCACTAGCTTTTATTAGCGTGCTTCCCTTCTACCCATCAAAGCAAAACAAATATCCTCAGAAATGTCGCCCACTTTCCGATGTAAGTGTCTATACTTGTCCAAAATTGTTTCTGAGGCTGAAGGTGCTTGGTAATATCATGCCACAATGACGTGTAGACCAGCAGACTTTTGATTTTTTGTGTGTTTAATTTTTTTTCAACACGCAAAGTGTCGTTAGCGTTTTCTGTTGATGCCACGTGCAGGAAGCTAAACTCTCCATGTCTAATGGTAAACTCTATAATGGTGGACTCTATAAAGTCAATGTTGTACAGTTTCGTTTGAATGTCTGTTGAGTTTTAATATAACTTTATTTAAGTACCTTTTCCTGTCAATATATAAAAAAAAAGAAAAAAAAATCATCACATAAACTGTGCTTCAGAGTTGTATTTAGAGAGTTGAAACAAACAGCCTGATAAAAATCTGACAAGTAACCATAACTGAAATTAGTTTGCAGTTAAAGGTTGATCTATTAAAACGTAAAGTCCATTGAAATGGTAAGCTCGATGTGTTTTTTAATTGTTTTTAAAACTGAAAATATATTTTAGTAAAAAACTGTTTGGTTGGCCCCCATTTTCATAGTAGGCTGTATGTTAAAACAAGAGAGCTATAGGAAAAGACTGCCTTCTGTCTCTGTCAGACTAAATGAAACGCATCACACAGGTCTATCATCTTGTTTATTTCCTTTGCTTCATCCTCTACCTTATCTGCTTTACTGGAGCAGAAATGGAGTAAAAATATGGTAAAAAAAAAAAAAGGAGACAGGCATTTTAAAAAATCCCAGCTCTTTGGATGCAGATTGTGGATCTAAGTATTGATCTGCCAGCTTCCCCACTTTTTCCTTCTATCCATCCATCCATTTCCCTCCCTTCCTGACGTTATCACCCTTCATCATAGAGTTATCAGTTCATTTCTACCCACTCCTCATTCCTTATTTTCCCTTCTCGTCACTACTCTGCTCTTCTGCAGCCATATGCACCTGTCAAAATGATCTCCTCAGCAGGGAGTGTGTATTTGTCTGCACTTCTGTGAGGAAAGATATCTGTCTGGCCAATGGTCAGAGGAAAAGACTGTCTGTTTCATAAATTACTCCTCAGGGACTAGAAAACAACAAACACAGAAAGTGGATTAATGTGTGTGTGCTTCTGTCTCCATGCTCTTTCATGTCTATGTACCAGCTTCTCTCTGTTGCAGACAGCGGGCTTGTGTAAGTGTCTCATTCTGTCTCTCTATCTTTCTCTCAGGCCAATTTGCTGTGTGCGGGCCACCGCAGTGCTGAAGAGCAGTAGACAGACGTCATTGGTAGAGTTATGGCCGCGGGGGCAAACCATGGCGGCTCAGCCCATCCATCGAGAGACGGCAGGAGGGCGGCCACCTTGGTAATTACCGGAGAAATGTTGTTGTGACAAGATGCTATGAACTGCCTATGTGAGTGAGAGAGACAGAGGAATTTTTACCAAAGTATTGTTTTGTTTCAGACAACACTGTAAGGACAGCTGGAAGCCATTCGTCCTGCCCCAACACTGATTAGGTGTCACCAGGAGTGTATCTATGAGGGAACTACAAGAAAAGGTGAGTGAGAGCACTCCATAAAAGGACATGCTGTTTACACACTGTCTAATGACCCACTTCTGGAGCATTGTCTTCTCCGTGTCCCTCCTCTCTCATATCACACTCTTCCATCATGTTCAACCACTTCCATCTCTCTGGATAACTTTCCTTTCTGTTTTTCCACTTCTTCTTCTCAATCAAAACATTTTGGTTGCTCACTGAGGTGATAATACCTCATCCAGGATTACCCATGTATCCCCCTCTCTACCTCTCTTTCTCTCTCTGTCTCTCACTCCATCTCTCCATACGGGGCATGTCATTTAACATGCCTCCAGTCACCTCTCACAGTCAGGAAGCTCATCCAACCAGTCATTCTCCATGCCCATTGTTCCTAAATGAGGGCCATATGCGCTGCGGCCAGCACTGGTCATAAAGACACACACACACACACACAGACCCACACACATGCCAGTGGTGATACCAGTGTCTATGGGTAAATGAGTGTGTGTGGTGATGTCACACATTGCTCCACATAGTGCATGTGTATGAATCATTATTGCGTGTGTCAGTGTATGAGTGATTATATGTGAGTGTCTGTGGATGTGGGCCTGCTGCCTCTGTGTGTGTATGTCTGTGCATGTGTGTTCCTACAGCCACAGTAGGGTGCTGTGGGTGGAATGTGTGTTTCTCTGCAGGACCAGTTCGGCCATTATTATTAAACATCTGTCCGCAGCACATTAATTCCCCACTCTGACGCATCCCTCTCTGCCCAGGGATCACTTAATTGAAATCCATAATGACTCTTTCTTCTCTTCTCTTGCACACTGAGCAAAGTGAAGCTGGAAAAGAGATTTTTGATTTAAAAGTTGGTTTCTATCTGCAAAGGCTAAATAATGTTTGCATTTTATATCACATGAGCAGCAGTTAATGCAACAGCTTATCTTAATTTCTCTAAAAGCAAAGGAAAAAAAACCATACATAAATATCTGACTACTGTGTTTCCTAAAGCTGCACTTTGGTAATAAGAATTATGGGTGGACCAGTTATTAGCCTTGGTCAAATTTTGGGGCCAGTATTCTGCATCAGCCATTTATTTTACAGATGGCTAAACATAACAGAAAACTGTGCTGTGTGAGTTGACTGTTGACCCCTGGAAATGATGTTGAACATGTCGGTTTTGATTAAATGTTTGCTGAAGGCATGAGGAGAAAGTTTTGTGTTGGTGTGAATAATATTAAAATTCAAACATTTTAAAATAAGTTAAAAAATTTTACTGTCTCTGTGTATCAAAGTATTGTTTTTTAATATCAGTTATTGGTTTCCGTCAACTACTAATAACTGGTAGTGGTAACTGGTATCTACAAGTCAACTCCTGCCAAGACAGGTTAAGGTGACTTACTAAGGGTTAGTTGTAGGTCTGTTAGTCCCCAAACATTTCACCTGGAATAAGAAGCTCTAAAAAAAGAACTCCAAAGTTTTATTAATATTTATTAAGTTTGATAGAGGCTTTGTTTTCCTCAATTTATTTAGTTTTATTGGTAAGTTTACAATGATGCTAAGTGCAAACACTAAATCAAAGTTTTAAAACATTTAGCTTTACGTTTTTGCAAATATTCTGTACAAGACTTATACAAATTCAAACATTGTATGGGCTGTGTATATCATTTCCATGTCAGCATGTAAGTAATTTATTAACCCAGAGACTCTTATTTTGTAAAAAACCAATCACTTTATGATAGTTCAAATGTCTGTTCAGATAAACAAACAAAAAATTGAAATGATTACCACAATGTGACAAATTACAAAAATATTTGGCATTATCAGAGAAATATGAAATGTATCGTTAATTGGATTTTATTAGAAGTGTTTGAAATATTCTGACACACTAATTTTACTTTATTGGCTTTAAATGATTTTCACTGCAGCCTTTTTTCAAAGTTTTGTCATCCAGACTTTTTGAAGTTTCAAACTGCACACTCAAACTCTGTTTTTCACTAAATTTCTGTGAAAAACGTGGTGAAAGACACCAAACCAAAGCTCACCCAAGGCCTCAAAAGGCCTAAGTAGTTTTTCATAGCTAAACCATGCAGAGCCCTCCTTCTTATTTCCCACCTGGAGATGCTGTTACTTTTTACAGTGGCAATGCTTTTAAACCAATTTGAAGTCATCTCCTTTTCCCTCTCCATCCCCTCCCCTTCCCTCCCTCCTACCTTTCCTCATTCCCCATCCTAATATCCTACTAATGGATAAAAACTATGATTGTGCCAGTAGAGGAGAAATATCATACCTTTATTAGCTCACCTATACCCACAGAGATAGGCAGAGAGAGAGGGGAGAGAGAGAGAAAGAGAGAGAGAAGTAATGAATTGAGCATTGTGTAAAATAGTTTAATGCAGGGGTGGTTCATCATTATTTGTGGCGGATTGCGTGCAGACAGGGGTGATCCATTAGTGTGGTCGTTTCCATCTGTGTATGCGTGTCTCTGTATGTGGGTGTGTGTGTCTCTGTGTGTGGGTGTGTGTCCCTACCAGAAGGACATTCGCTGCTGCCGGCCCCACTGTCACAATGAGAGATTCATCACCACGCACACACAGACACACACATACACACACATACACACACGCAAACTCACACACACACAGGCTACAGTACACATGTGGCATTATTGTTCCATCATTACTCCTCTCATTCTTCTTTTCAACAATTTGTCATTTTGCTGTCACAGACACAAACACACTGATTTGTGTGTCGTTATGTTTACTGTGTAGAGAGCTAAGGCCAGGCAACATGACAAAGATTAAAATGGATTTCAAAAATTCAAAATATTGAGATGTCAATAAAGAGATTATGAAACAAACTTTTACTGTGATAATAAACTCAGAGTAAAAAAAATACATAAATATCTATCAGATTGCTGGTACAATATTTTAAATATGCAGACTTAATATAGTTCACTTTGATCATCAAATACACAACTGATATAAAATTATTACAGTCACCTTATGCGACAGAAACAAAGACTTACTTCAGTCGTTATCGCTTTAGTGTATTTTCATAACTAGGAATCAAACTAAAAAGACTATTAAATGTGTATTACTTATATCTTTTTATAGAAAGGGTTCAACAATCAAATCATTAAAAAAAGGAATCAGGGAGGGCTGTTTTAAGTTTCCTGATTGCCTCATCTGATGGCCATGCCTTCACCCCCTCCACACACGTCCACAATCACATCCCCTTTCAAAATAAAACCCTCAGTAGTTTAATGGAATGTAGATTTTCCTCCCAGGGACTCGATATTGGAGCAGGAAAATAAATCATCCAGT